TTGTGGTCAGGCAGCCGTAATCTGTCCCTCGAGCCACACGAGAGTCTCATTAAAACGTGCCTCATAAATGTTAAAAAATTTACACATAAAAAAATTCCATGCATGAAACTGAAACCGTACGTTTTACGGCCTCGGTTTGAAATCTTGCATAATATATAAAACCTTGGCCCTGCACTAGGGGCCCGTAAATCAGATTTTATAAAACAAAAAGCTTTTACCTTTCAAAGGGGTTTGGGGAACTTGCAAATTTTACAAACTTTACCAACCGCCAGTCAGAGGCTGCTGGGCCCAAGGAGGGGAACAGAAGGCCAGGTAAGAAATAGACTGAGGAGTGCTGGGTGGGTGTGGGAATTGGAGTGGAAGATGTGAAGAACAGAGATGACCTTTCCCAGGGGAGCCAAACAGGGCCATCCAACTTAGTCTTTGGGCAGCTACCCCAAAGCTCAGAAATGGGGAGGAAGAGCGGGCCAGAGAGCGTGAACGTCAGGGGGAGGGGTACTGATGGTGTTACTTTTAAATGAGGGTTTGGTTGCCCCTAGGAAGAAGAGAGGTGGTGTGATGTCATGAAAGGAGTACAGTCTAGGAGTCAGCCGGCCTAGTTCTGATCCTGACAAGTCCCTTCCCCTTTTTGGACGTCAGTTTTCCTATCTATAAAATGGGGGTGGGGGTGGGGGTGGGTAGGATTTGTTTCTCTCTTCAAAAAAAAAAAAAAGTTATCATTGAGTCAACTCTGACTCACGGTGATCCCCTGTGTGTCAGGGTAGAACTGTGCTCCACAGGGTTTTTAATGGATGCTTTTTTCAGAAGCAGATCACCAGGGCTTTCTTCTGGGTGGACTAGAACCTCCAGCCTCTCAGTTAGCAGCCCACTGTGTTAACTGTTTGCACCACCCAGGGACTCCTCTTTCTCTCTAAGGTTGTATTCTCCTTCCCTCAACTCTCTGTCGGGAGCTCTGGTGGTACAATGATCAGGCACCTGGCTGCTAACTGAAAAGTCAGTGGTTTGAACCCACTAGTGGCTCCACAGGAGAAAAGACCTAGCAATTTGCTCCCATAAATATTACAGCCTAGGAAACCCTGTGAGGGTTTTTACTTTGTCCTACAGGGTTATTATGAGTTGGAATCAGTTGGACAGCACTTAAAAACAACTTTCTGTGATTCTATTTCTCCTCCACTAGGGACACCATGAGGGAGCTCTGGTAGTATAATGCCTAAGGCACTCGACTGCTAACCAGAAGGCTGGCGGTTCAAACCCCCGAGCCACTCCTCAGAAGGAAGGTTGGGCAATCTACTTCTGTAGTGATACTGCCTTGGGAACCCAAGGAGAGGTCGCTATGAGTTAGGTCCAACTCGACAGCACATAACAACAACAACAGGGACACCATGGGAGCTGTTGGATAACCAGGGGAGAGAAGTTTCCTCTGAACCTTCTACTCTCTGGTAATTTGGGGGACGACTCTGACAGAGCTTAGTCAGCCATTCCCATGGGAACATGTCTGGAAGTGGAAACATGGGAGGATATGACGTAGCCATTTGCTTGGGGGAGAGGAGGGCAACAAGCTGGGATGTGGAAGATACATCTTTGAAGGGTGAGTTTGGTATGGCTGGAGATTGTGGGTTTACCAGGCTTGAGAGAAAGCAGGACCAGAGTGAGGCTCTAGGGTCTGGGGATGGGACCTTCTAAGTGATAGAATTTTTGGGGACCTGAGTGCCCTCCTGACAGCCCCATCTATGAAAGTCAATATTCAAGGGCAAAGGAAAGCCACCCTGACACACATATATAAAAAATAAATCTCTCAATTATCTCAGCTCATTTGCTTGGGGTCTCTCATTTTATGTCCCTGCTCGGCTGCGCAGTATATCTGTCCAGATAAAGAGTTACAGTCCGTTGGACTACGTGTGCGGGGTTGTAAAAAATACAGATGCCAAATTAACTGACTGTGGCACTCGGCAGCTGATTGAGCTGATAATGACGCGATCTGACCTTTTTCTAATTTCTAATTATGTGCATCTCGGCTGTGCTTGTGACATGATTCTTGTTCTAATGATGGCTCCTGTGGCTGGCCTCTTCATCCCCCCTCCCATCACAGGACTAGGAGTGGGGGTTGGCAAAGGGCACTGCTTGACTCCCCAAATAAAGTTTCCATGTCCAAGCCACACAGTCTCTTTGATGGGCCAGACTGTGGGGGCAGAATGCTGGAGTCCCTTTCCTTAATGATGCTGTTTAACCTTCTGGATGCTGGGCACTTTTAAGCCTATTTCCACAGCCCATCTCATTTCTTTTTTATTAAAATCATGTGAGATAGGTGTGATTAGATCTGCAGATGAGGAAACTGAGCCTCAGAGGAGTTAAGTCATCAAAGTCACACTGATATAGTAAGTGGTAAAGCTAGGCTCAAATCTTTTGTTTCTAAGTGCTCTTTCAAGATCTCTCCATTTAATAAGTCCATCAATCAACCAGTCATTGACTCTGTGGCTCAGCCCATCTCAGCCAGGTAGGTCAGGTTCACATGAGAAGATGGAATGTCCAGTGCACTGTTCCACCGGCGGGACCACACTTGGGCAGGACCCAGCCCAGCTACCTGAGATAGAAGACCAGGGAACACCAGAAGTCTGCGGCCCTTAGGTCACTTCTACAACCTCCATGTCCCCAGGCCAGGTGGACTGAATGGAGAAAATTGGATTCTTTGAGCTGAAGTGAACCCTGCGAGCTCTGGGCAGTGTGGATGAGGGAAAAGCATGGAACTGGACACTATGGGACATTTTCCAGGCTCTACCACAACAGGAGGTTTTCCTCAGTGGGTCTCCACAGGTCAGCTGGCAGGTGGTGGTAGGTGAGGAAGGAGAAGTTTGTTTCCCCAGGACTCCTACCCTTTAGACGAGTCCCTGTGTGGCACAAATGGTCAAGCGCTGGACTACTAAGCAAAAGGTTGGTGGTTCAAACCTACCCAGAGGCATCTTGAAAGTTGTTGTTGTTGTTGTTGTTATGTGCCGTCGAGTCGGCCCCGACTCATCTTGACAAGTAAGGTCTGGCAATCTGCTCCCAAAAGATCACAGCTTTGAAAACCCTATGGTGTAGTTCTACTCTGCACCTGTGGGGTCGCCTTGAACTGGAATTGATGGGACTATGAACAAAAAACACTCCTCCCTTAAGAAGGTTTAAATTCTTTCCTGTCACTCAATCTGAGTTTTTACATTTTCTCACCAACTCAGGCCTCAGTTTCTTGTGAGTTTAAGGTGAGGGGAGTGAGCCATGGCTTTCCAGATCCATTCCAGCTCCCCCAGAAGTGGCTGCCTCATGTCAATGGCTGCTGTGGGTCTGGATTCTGTAGATCTGCTTTACACCTGCAGTTCTGCCATTCCAATCAGCCAGAAAGCAGGGCAGGTGCAGAACAGCCTGCACTTCATATTGGACCGATGGGAGAATTTGCCTGGGGAAACCTTTCTCAAGGGATGGGGGATGGGGAGCAGCCAAGGCTGAGAGACAGTGGCCTGGCTGCCTGGGAAGTGAGGCTGCTCAGGCTCTGAAGGGAAAAGGGAGGAGCCAGGGGGGAGCAAAGGGATCTGGGGCTTACTCTCTGGCCAAGTCTCACCCCCTCCCCTTAACCACACCAGCCCAACAAAACATGTCACAAATTTCTAAACCAGAGTGGGCTCTCCCAGTAGCTCTTCAAGACTCCATAAAGTACCATATTCAACTCCTGAGAGAAGTAGTGGGGTGGATAATTCACAACACAGAATAAAACCAATGTCATCGGCATCTGTTCTGCAGGTGCGCTGTGTCTCTCTCTGTGTGTATTTTTTATTCCTTCCCTTTTGGAACCACATTTGTTTTTCTAATCCTGTTTCCCTGTAAGGAACAGGTACAGGCAAAACTCTGGAGGTGAGAGGTCAACACTATAATCAGTGTGTGTGTGTGTGTGTGTGTATGTGGAGGGTTGTTTCACAGAATTTCCAGATTCACTGTGCATAATCTGAGTAGTCCACCACAGAAAATCAAGGACTGTGGTTCACAATTCCATGATGACTCTTTATAGTGTGAACAGAGAAACCCCTCTATCACTTTCCCTCAACAGAATTCCTAGGGATGAATGAGGATTTCAGATGTTATCTGCCTCAGTGGTTACCAAGGCTAATTGATGATTGAAATTGGCCTGGAAACATTAAGAAATGCAGATTCACAGGCCCCACCTAGGGTACTGAATCACAATTTCCAGGTTGTGGAGCCCATGAGTATGTAATTTATAAATCTGTAGTAGTGGTCTGGATGTCAAACTAGATTTGAGAATCTGATCTACTGTGATCCTTTAAATAGGCAGGACCTGTGCTGGTCATCTTCTTCTCATGAGTGTGTCTCTAAGTCTTTCTCTCTGTTGATAGGCTTCAACATATTACCCTACATTGTCCACACTGTAGCACCCAGCTATTAACTACTCTCTGGGCAGCCCAAGACAGATAACTAATGTGCTAGGACTCCAGCGCTCAGAGTAGCTACCCCACACATTCTGGCTGATATGACTCTCCTCTTCTCTAAGGAGCCCTGATGGCGCAATGGTGAAAGTGCTGGGCTGATAACCAAAAGGTCAGTGGTTTGAACTCACTGTCCCCTCCATGGGAGAAAGATGTGGCAGTCTGCTTCTGTAAAGATTACAGCTTTAGAAACGCTATGGGATAGTTTTATTCTGTCCTACAGGGTCACTGTAAGTTGGAATCAACTCGATGGCACTGGGTTTGTCTTTTCTGTGCTGCAAGAAGGTGGGTGGTAAGATGCTGGTGCCACACAGGAAGGGAGAGAACTTTGGCAGCAAAACCTCTGCATGTAACTCAAGTTTTAAGAAACTTAAAAATGGTTCTCAGATTCTAGAATAATATATCTAGTGCTCATTCATAATTTTTTGTCGAAAAGAATTGAGTTAAAGAAGCATTTCTAAGGTGTTAGAAAAGGATCAGAGGGTAGGAAGACTCTAGGCAGGGTGGGGTGGGGGATTAGAGGGTCTTTACCAGATTGTCCAGTTCTGGGTCATCGCTGAAGAAGGGTTTGTGCTCCTGCTCCTGCTGGTGGACAAAGTTCTCGATGTCTACATCAAAGCTGGCGGATGTGATGCACTCAGAGCCCTGGGTGGCCTGTTCACATTTCTCAAACAGCAGCGTCAGGAGCGGGAAAAGAGGGTGCCTGCGGGGACATCAAGAGCTCACACATGTGTATACACAGAGACCATGCTGCTGGCTGGACTCAGAAGCCACCAGGAGCCCTTGCCCACATTTCTGTCACTTCTCCCAAGGTCCCACTCCTTGAGAATGTTCTCGGTCCCCATGGTCAACCTAGATGGCAGCATTCCATGCCTTGGCATGGAGGCTCCAGGTTCCTGGTTCCTGGGGCTTCAGACACCTTCTCTTTTTCCATGTGGATGCCTGACTACTCTCTTTGGTTAGATAAGCTGCATGGATATGGTGAGGGTTGATGAGTTATAATCCTTCAAAGAAGTAGGTGTCCCCTTCTGGCTCAGGGTCACCCAGAAGAGGAATGTGGGAATCCTGGAAAGGTCTTGGACATGAATATCAGTGGGAGTTCACAGACCCATTGTTGGCTGTCTGGAGCCAGCTGAAGACAATATATATGTACATGACTGTGTGTTTGCACAGTACGTGCAGGGTGTGTGTGTGGCCAGAATACTTGTCTACACATGGTAGGCAGAGGTCTTGACCCATCCTATGTGTGTTGGCAGACTCCATTTAGGTCAGACACCCAATCTCATGTCTTAACATATTCCTGCAATTTTCTATCATCACACATTTAGCACAGCTGTAATTAAATGATTATTTGCATAGTTATTTGTTCACCGTCTTCCTCGAAGATTGTACCTGTTTTAATGATCATTGTATCTCTAGGGCCTTGCTCATGCATGCTCTTAGCAGCACTTAATAAATAGTTAGTGAGTGACTGAATGAGTCAAGGAATTGATGAATGGAAGAGTGTGTGTGAGTGAGTGTGTGTGGACATGTGCATGGTTCTGCGATGGATCTATGTATCTACATGAGCTGAAGTGCTTACTTGAATAGCTCCATGAGTCCGATCTTGGACATCACCAATTCTGGGAAGCTTCCTTGACTCTTGCCCCCCCGCCCCAACCTATGCTGATAGCACCTTGAGTTGTTTGTTTTATCATCTACTTTCCTCATCAGGAAGCTATACAAGTGCAGGAATTGAGCCTACTTTATTCATCCCTGCATGCCCAGAGTCTAGTAGAGTATGTGGATCTCAGTAAGTATTTGTTGAATACATATGTGTTACCTGTGGGTAAGCTTATGTGTATATGTGAGTGCATATCATGTTTATTTTCATTGTATTTGTGAATGACTATATCTCAAAGTGCAGTATGTGTGCATGTGTGTACATGGGCTGTTGATGCATGGACTCGGGAGCAGTGGAGACACTGTCTTCCAAAAACATATCCTTCCCTGGTCTCTTTCCTCAGTCTCCTGGGACCACCAAATCTAGCTCCTTTCTTTTTGGGAAATCCCTGCTTATTGAGAGAGGTTGGCTCCCAGTCACCAGGCCTCTGGAAAAAGGAATACTCTAGCCAACACTGTCCAATAGAACTTTCTTCAATGATGGAAATGTTCAATAATTCCCACTGTCTAATATGTTAGCCACAGACCACATCTGGTCATTGAGTACTTGAAATAGGACTGTTATGACTGGCAGACAATTTTAAATTTTGATCAATTTAAACAGCCTCATGTGGCTAGTGGCTACCATATTGGACAGTGTAGTAAGTCTTGATGAGGAAAACAGAGCATGATTTTCCCCTCCAGCACACCATGATTGAACACACCCAGAGAAGAACTGAACATCCAGGCGGTGTGTATTTGTAAGTGGGAGGGAGCATCACTAACAGCCTGTCCCATTTTGAGATTTTAATAATTCTAGGCAAAAAGACAGAAAGAACCCTCCCCTATCCACACTCACACCCACATATTTCTAATCAAGCTTGGGTCCCTGGGTAGTGCAAATGGTTTGCACTTGACTACTAACCAACAGGTTGATGGTTCAAACCTACCTAGCAGCACTGTGGAAGAAAGGCCTGCTAATCTGCTTTGTAACACGTAGGGTTGCCACGAGTTGGAATTGACTCAAAAGCAGTGGGTTTTTGTTTGTTTTTAAATGAGGCTCAGGGGCAGTGGTGGGTAAACCCCAAACCAAATCTAAACCCATTACCATTGAGTCGATCCTGACTCATAGTGACCCTATGGGACAGAGTAGAACTATCCCATAGGGTTTCCAAGGCTGTAAATCTTTAGGAAAGAAGACTACCACATCTTTTTCCCACAGGGTGGCTAGTGGGTTTGAATCACCAACCTTTCAGTTAGCATCTGAGGGCTTTAATGACTGTGCAACCAGGGTTCTATAGTGGTGGGTATGGGGAGATAAATTCTTCCTTCAGATGAGCTTCTTGGCCTGGCAGCATCTGCCCCTGGACACAATCTCCCAAACCTTTTGATTTGAGTCCTGATATATAAACAGTTGGGCCACAATGCTACAGGCTGCACAGTACACAGGAAAAAGGGTGAGAGTCTGCAGGAGGCCCATCTGCAACCCCAAATTGCTAGACAATCTATTCAGCCTGAGTAGAAAGCTGGTAAGAAAAACAATAGGTTAGCCTAGCCATCTGGCTGAAGACAAAGAGAAAACCAGGTGAAGGGGTTAAACTCCAGTATAAGTCTTCATTTGCAGCCACTAATACTGCAGCATATTATGGTCTAATCTAACCTGATCCCAGTTTAATGCAAGATTCTCCTGGCCCTGAGTGGAATACCAAAGAAAGCCTCAGTGGCTGTAATTTAAGCAGAGCCCTGCAGTGGTTTAGCTGAGGGACATGAAAGGCAAATTCCAGACGGTGTTATGAATTATTGCGCCTTATGAACCTTCCTACTCTCAACAGATGCCTGCTGCCATTTAAACAGCCACTAGATCAATTAGGAATGAAAGGCACAAATCGACTCTGTACAAGGGCACTAAATTACCAGGAACTAATAATCTGCAGCATCGTGCCAGGTGGTGGGAGTGCAGCCCCAAGCCCCCAGCCCTGCGGCAGCCACACGATGACCGCACATTCCTTTTTTGCAGGTTGGAGGGAGAGTGGGCAGCTCCTGAATGAAGAGGGGGAAGGTCTGTTTGTGCATGCATGCGTGTGCACCTTGGTCAAGTGTATGCTGTCAAGAAGAGCAAGTGTGTGTATGTGTGTGTATATGCTATCTTATATGTTTTACATTGTGTGCACACACAACCATGTTGTATTTATGCAGTATGTATGTGTGTGTGGGTTTTTGTGCATGCAATTTGGGTGCAGATTTTGTGTGCAGTGAATACAGTGTGTATATGCCTTGTATGCAATGTGCATGCATGTGCTATGTGTACCTGTATGCCATTTGTCTATGGGAATTTTGTGTTCTGTGTACATAGCATGAGTGGTGTATGGATTAGAGAAGAAGGATCTGTGACAATTGTGTCCCCCAGCTACTACTACTAGCACTAAGTTTGGGACAGGGAAAGGAGGGTTGTCTCCTCTGCTATTTCCCTTGCCCCTGCAGGGAGAAGAAGTTCTACTTAGGGTGGTCAGGGAAGGCCTCTCTGAGGAGATGACATTTAAGTTAAGCCTCAAATGATGAGGAGGCAGTCTTGCAGAAATCAGAGGGTGGGACGTTCGAAGCAGGAGTAAAGCAAGAGCAAAGTACATGAGATAAGAATGAATTTCGCACATTTCAGGATTAAAATCCAGATGGGTGTGGGTGGACTGAGGTAGGCAGTGGAGGAAGGAGAGGAGGATGAGGGGGTAAGCAGGGGTCAGATATTGAGACACCCTGTAAGTCTCAGACAAGAGCTCTGGTAGTGTAGTGCCTAAGGCACTTGATTGCTAACCAGAAGGCTGGAGGTTCAAATCTACCAGCCACTCCTTGGAAGGAAGGTTGGGCAATCTACTTCTGTAGTGATACTGCCTCAGAAACCCAAGGGGGGGGGTCGCTATGAGTCGGGCCAACTCAACGGCAAACAACAACAACATAAGTCTCAGACAAAGCTGGGCTTGCAGGGGTGGTGGGTGGCATTCTCACCTACAATGGAAACAACATACATGTTCAATGCAGAACCACTTACCACGGGTCCATTTTATAAGCCTCTGTTAGTTCTAGGTGTCAGATCTCTCCAGAATAGGGGGTGGTGGACATATTTGTGGGTGATTTCTGCTATCTCTCAAAAGAGGGGAGCATGCTTTCTGTTCTTCCCCCTGACGTTAACTAAGGGTCTGTGGAGCACAGGGCAGAGACATCCTGGATGCTGGTAGGCCCTCTCTGCACCCCTCCCCATAAGCTTGAGGACTGGGCATTCAGGGCTGGGAGGACAATGATCTGTACTATCAGCTCCCAAATCCTCCCTTCTCATGCCCCAGCCTCCCTGGCTCCTGCTTCAGGTTCTTCCCACCCCAAATCCAGGAGCCCTGTCTGTCTCACTGAGCTAAGGTGGCACTAAGCTTGCCCATACCTTCTCTTATGAACCCAGCCAGGGTTAGTGGGGCTGCTTTGGCTCTCATGTGTTGCACCTGAATCCCTCTATGAACCCAAATTGGCTACCATGCTTGAGGATGGGGTCTGCTGAGAAACAGGCTCAGTTTCCCAGAGACTCCGCTGGGTTCCATGGCTGCCGTCACGCCATGGGCTTTGCTAAGGTATTCCCAGACCATTTCTGGGAAAGTCATGTGCTCCTTTACCAGCTGCCCAGCCTATGCCTGCCTAAAATTTGTCCTATATTTTCTAAGCTAACCTCCGACATTACCTATGGTAGTTAAGGTTGTGTGGAAACTTGGCTAGGCCATGATTTTGAGTGGGTTGGCAGCTGGATGTAGTTATTCCCCATGATGAGATTGTAATCACCTCCACAGTGGAATCTGCTGTGAGCAGCTAAGGAGTTGCCTTCGAGCTGTGCCCTGCTTCCAGTATATAAGAAGATTTGCACAGGCTCTGTAGCTTTTTGGCACATTTGGATCCTGTGTTTGGCTGAGCCATCAGTGGCCTGCCATATTGCTGGTGATCTTGGGACTGTTCCCAGACTTCAACTAGTGGCCTACTATGTTGCCTGCTAATCTTGGGATAGTGCCTTTTACCTGCCGACCTTGGGTT